AGCCCTACCAGAACACCAGGCCTAACAGTAGACAACGGTTGGTGCTGGAGGGAGGGGTGTTGAACAGGCAGTAAGGATAGCCTCAGGCAAACAAAATAGTTGGATACAATCTCTCAAGAGCAAAGATCCTTGAACTCCTGACATTAACCTCTTATAGCTGCCTTGAATGCTGAATGACTTTCTGACCACAATCTCCATGAGGCCTAACTGTATTTTCATGATGGATTTATCCCTCGGGGTTCTTATCTACAAACAACGAAACTCATTCTGGTTTTTTTAAGCAGAAAAAGAATGCATGAAAGCACATCATTAGTGGTTCAAAGAATCTCCAGCAAAGTCAGAGAAATGAGCCTGGGGCTCTGCAGCTAGGAGTGGTACCTAGACCCCTACCTGTCTGGTGACAGGCTCGATCCCACTCCTTTGGCACATGTTACTGTGAGCATCGCTGCCTCTGCTGCCTCTGCTGCCTCTGCTGCCTCTGCTGCCTCTGCCTCTGGGTTTCCATGTCCCTTCTCTAGGTTCCACTTCATTTCCAAGACCCAAACCCATGCAGCAGCTTCTCACTTGTTTTTCACACTCTCCTGATGCTGTTTCAAATAAGCAGGGCCTGTGTCACATGTCCTGGCTGCAAAGGAGTCTGAATAAACTGAGTTCTGATCTCCACCCTGGTGAGGAGGCATCCCTTACATGGCACATTTCCCAAATTTAGGAAGGCTTTTCAAATGATGCTGAGCTGGCATCAATATGATTCATATCCACTATACCACCCCTCAAACAGCCAAATCTTCTACCTCTCTTTGGAGGGACCAAAGCAAGGGAGCCTAGCCTCTTTATTTTCACATGTGGCTTCCCGATGTATCTGTGAATCCCTGTTCATTGCAACCAAAGGAACTCAGTTAACACAACACAGTTTGGCCAATGTAGTTTGGATAAAATTTAGCTTGGGGGTAATTGTTTCCTTCCCAGCAAGATTGGCTCACAGAAGCTAATGGCTTCTTCTTCAAACAGAAGGGCCCTAGTGGGACTTTGGAGGTTGTCTTGGAATCATGGCCACAAGGAGCCCTCCGAGGAGTGCCAGCCCACAAGATATCTATCAAGCCTTGTTACAGAATTCTACAAATGCCACCCATTTAACCACAAATCATCCCTAGCTATTTACAATAACAAAGTTGCCAGGTGGGGGCTCCCTGTCAAGGGTTTTCCCAGCCTGATAAATTCCCTTGCGAGTCTGAAATTCTCCAGCAGTATTTCTAGGGCACTGAATTACCTGACTTTCCTTCTGTAGCCATCTACTGCTCCACCAGGACCTGAAGTCATTTCATTAAGCAATAGGTTTTGAATATCATATATGTCCTCGGCATTGTGCTAACACTGGACATGCTCTGTCCCTGGGGGCCCTTCAGACAAGGAAATGAGCCAGAGCTTAAATGGAGGCAGAAAAAGCAAGGAAAGGAACAAAAATGTTAAAGCACCATTATCCAGACCGACATGTATAGTTTGCATCTTTAAGCAGACTTGTTGAGCAGGGTCGTTACAGAAGGTGAGGTCTTTGACTAATCTAGAAGTACAGCCATTGTATTTTCACAACACGGAGACTAACAACTTTTGCTGACTGGGGAATTCATTTGTATAAAAGTTATCTAAAGATATCATCATTAAATGCGTTTAGTTTATATTTAACAAGTGAAAAGAATAAGATCAGAGGAAATAATGACCTCTTCAGCAAATCTAGATGGAGCTAGCTGGATACTTGGCTGCTCCTGGGATGGCTATAAGGAAGTGCAGTCTTTTACCAGTGTGGATCTCCTCTCAGAATAGTGACATGTTTCACAGAGTGGAAGTGGGGGCACCTGTGCAAACTTTGGGCTTGACAGGAAGGCTAAGAGGAAAGGCCTGCTGTGGTCTCAGCGGCCTCACCGGGTCCGTGGAGGCGGCGCTGCCCCGGCAGGCCGCTAGGTGTCGCCGTGAACCCGTGAGAGCGAGGCCCTACCCTGGGGGCGCACATCAGCGCGGTCTGTTTTCAATCAACACGTTGTCAGTTTTTCTCCCCGAGGCCCCAGGAGTGTGCTAGGAATTTTTATTTCTTGAGAAATACTGCGATTCAGCTGCCCTTTGCTGGCCCTGCTGGAGAGAAGGAAGGTTGTGCTTGCTCCTGCCAGCCCCCCAGGCAGGGGGCTTCCCTGCTGGAGTCTTCAGGCCACCGCCCTCCCCCTCTCCCCCCCTCCTTCTTCCTCTCCATTCCTTTTCTTCTTTCTCTCCCTGTGCCTAGTGACACCAGCGAGCTGCTCAGTGCAGAGGGTCCCCATTCTGGAGGCCTCTTTCAACCTTCTGCGTTTCAAAGCAGCCACACAGCTCCAAAATAAACTAGCTTGCAAGGCTTAGCCGTGCCCCCTTCTTTCAAAGCAGCCACAGAAGAAAGTAGTGTTGGGGTGGGGGCAGCAGGAGGCTCAGCTACCTCCCTAGGGTTTTCGGACCTTACTCGGCCTACAAGGGCCTAAAAGTCACACCTGCTTTTCAGGTCTCACTGCCCTCTGCCATGTACTAGCTGTGAGACCTTCGCAGCTCGCTCGCCCTTTCTAAGCCTCCATTCTTCATATATGAACTAGATAGGACCTACAGGTGCATAAGGGTCCCACTGACCTGGCATGGAGCAGGCATTCTATAAAGGCAGGTGACTTTCGTTATGACTACAAGGGGACACTTACCGACCCATCAACACACACCCACAGACAGATCTTTGGGGCCCGCAGTCTCCTGACCCGCTGGCAAGATGGTGTGTCAGGGAAACAGAATTCAGGGGTGTGTGTTCAGAGATGCCTGGAATCCCTGCTGAGTCTAACTCTCTCTACTTATGTCAACAGGGATAAATTTGTTCCGAGCCCAGCTGGGAGCTGTCTTGGTCAATAGCCATAGCTTGCTTGGCAAAATGCCATGATAGCCGTCATGATAGCCGATAGTGGGGAAAAGGCCACTCATGGGTGGAGCGGCTGCTCACTGCTCACCCTGGTTTCCAGCTATCACCTTGCTCTGTGGGTTTTTTGCAGGTGGTCACAAGGCAGAATCCTGACCCTAGGCGCCCTGCAGCTGCCCCCTGCAGGCACTGAGGCCACATACCCTGAAAGTTGGGGAGAAGTGGGAAAAAGGCAGAGCCAGGTTTTGTTTGTTCGTTTGTCCAACTGTCTGTCTGTCTGTTTTACCGGGGGCTTTCCTGGAACTCTCACTGGAAGCTAAATGGCAAAGAGAGGGTAATGCCCCTGCTGGCCAACGTGCGTAACTGCAGCCCCCTCAGCCTGTGGGAAGAGACCGTTTCCGACAGACTGGGATCTCTGGCTTGAGGACGCTTGAATACTCCGACCCAAGATGAGACTGCATTTGTTGAGCAGCAAATAGGCAGGGGATGTGTGCTGACTCTTAAGACAGCCCAAAGCAGTGTTCTGGGCTTAGCAGGGATGTGGGAGGCAGGGAGGAGGCTATTCAGACCTTCAGCCCAAGCCTGGTAGAGCAGGGCACCCTCAGAGCACATTGCCTGTCCAGAGGCTGGCATTGACTCTGTACCTGAGAAGGTTTTATTTCTTCAGGCATGAGAAGCCTCGGACTTTCAAGGAAGAGCTATTCAGCCAGAGGAGCCATTGAGAGGTCCAGTTACCCAATTCCTTTCTCCAGCAGAATAAAGATTAAAGGCCACAGCTAAGTCTTTCCTACTCTGGGTGGAAGAGACACACCCAGATTGTGGTCCTGGCTCTGTGACCTCTGGGAAAGTTCCCAGAGCTCTCTAACCTTCAGTTTTCTTATCTGTAAGATGCATATAATCCCCAAATGCAGACTTCTCAGAAGCATGCCACACGGATTAGAGATTGTGTAGGTGGGGTCCCCAGTTATGTTAGGCACACGATGGCAACAAGGAGGTTGCCCGTGACCTAGCTGCAGATTGCCCAGGCACAGGAGAAGCTGCTGCTGTGAATCTCAGTGAAGTCCACCAGTGCTCCAGACCACACCCAGACTCCTCAAGTCCCAGTGGGTGGGATCTTGGAAAGCCTGAATGCCCCACAATGCAACCTGGGCTGCTGGTGCTTCACTTGTCTTTTTGAAAATCTTGTGAACTCTCATGAATCTCTGGGGAGGAAGTTTTAATTAAATCATGCAGCTTCTGTGCAAAACAATCTGACAGTTTCTCAAAAAAGTAAATATATGACTTAGCAACTTCAGTCCTAGGTATATATCCAAGAGAAATGAGAACACACGTCCATACAAAAACTTGTATATGAAGGCTTATTGCAGCATTATTCACAATAGCTGGAAAATGGTAACAATGCAAATATCTGTCAAGTGATAAATGGATAAATAAAGCCTGGTGTATCTATGCAAAGGACTATTATTCAGCCATAAAAAGGAATGAAGTACAGATACACCTACATCCTACAGTGTGCATGAATCTTGAAAACACTACATGAAGTGAAATAAGCCAGACACAAAAGGACAAATATTTTGCTATTCCATTCATATGAAATGTCCAGTATAGACAAATCCGTGGAGACAGTAAGTGATTACTGGGTGTCGATGCCTGGGGAGGGGGAATGACTGTTAATGGGTGTGAAGTTTATTTTAGAGGTGATGAAAATGTTTTGGAATTAGATGGTGGTGGGTTTCACAACTCTGTGAATGTACCAAAAACCAGTGAATTAAATCATAATAAAGCTGTTATTTTAAAAAAAGACCCTTAGCATGCCAGCTGGAGTGTGCTATGACCAGCAACCAGCAAATGAGATGGGCTGTGTGGGGAGTGGAGCTCTTGTAAGCCTCGCCTATAAAAGGCTTCTGAGTGTGCTGGGGCCCAGGTCCCAGGGCCTGAGTGGCAGGACACCTGTGGCACTTTCCTGGCCAGCTCACCCAGCAGGCACCGCACAGGGAGGATGCAAAACTCATGAGCACACCTTGCCTTGGTGTCAAAACTTGCAGAGATCATGTTGTCCAAACCAGACATCAGGACTGTTAACTATGGTTTATACTCCTGAGGACAGTAGGATAAGCCTTTTTTTTTTTTTTAACTGATGTTTATTTTCCTCCAACTTTATTTCCATCTTAAGAGCTTGTGGAAGAACAGTGGTTGTTCCTACCCATTCAGTGGCCTGAGCAGTGGGAGCTGCAGACCAGTCTTCAGTGGCAGGCTGGGCACTCCAGTCCTCAGTGGGGACCTGCTGAATAGGCACAGAGGGCACCTGCAGCCTTCTGACCAGTCTGCAACCTCTGCTTGCGTAGCAGTAAACTCAGGAGCTGGAGCAGCCCATTCACCCTGAAATTCCTCCGTGGTCACAGCTCTCTCAGCAGCAGCCTGCTCTTCCTTTTCAATCTCTTCAGGATCTCTGTAGAAATAGACATCCAGCATGACCTCCCACGGATGGTCACAGGAGATGGTGCCACGCACACGAGAGAACTTCCTGGGCCAGCATCTACCACATAAGACCTACTGAGCGAGTTCCCTTGTTGTTGCATGGGACAGCGATATCCACATAACGCAGAGGAGAATCTGTGTTACACAGAGCAGTGGTAGGCAGGTTAACATAAGACGCCTCTGTGAGAGGTTGGTGGTCAGCCCTGGGATCAGTAACCACTAGAAGACAAGGCTCCCGGAAGGCTGCCTGGACCTGGTTAGTGAAGGTTCCAGAAGTGAAGCGGCCAGCAATAGGAGTGGCTCCAGTGGCAGCAGCAAACTTCAGCACAGCTCGCCGGCCAGTATTCCTAGAAGATATGACACTGACATCAGCAGGGTTTTCAACAGCAACAGTGGCCCAAGCTGCCAACAGAAGTTTTATCCAAGTCCTCTTCAGATTTATGCTGTAGATGCCATCACTTTTCCTTTTGTAGATGTACTGTTCCATTTGGAAGTCAAGGTTGGTACCACCTAAGTGGGTTCCTGCTGCAAGGAATTTGAGGACATCCTCCTCCTTCATCTGCAGGACATCAAGGGCTCTGCACATTGTGAAAATTTCCCTTTAAGTTACGGTGGGAATCCAGAACAATGCTGTTAGGGCCCTCCCTGAGTGGCGCGGAAAGGATAAGCCATTTTAAGTAAGAACTGTCGCCAAATATTTGGGTATAAGGCCCCAGTTTTCCAGGATATACTCACCTTCCTCTGTTCCCTCAAACAGACAAGTTTTCTAAGAGTCATATATAAAAGTTGGGGAGGTCTCCTGACATTTCATCAGAACTGTACTTTTTCAGATTGAAGGCCAATCTAATAATGGTTCAGCTTGAGCAAAGTGCCTACAACCATTTTCATGGCAGGGCACAGAACCCAGCCCTAGAAAACACCAGGCAGCCTGTTAGCTCTGATTCCTTGGAGCATTGTTTGGAATCTTGGCAGGAAGTTCAGTGGAGCAGAGACGCTGAAGGGTTCTCTGTACTCTCCCAACACACTTACATGCATGCACATGACTGCCATCCCCTGTCCCAGACTAAGCAGAGGGCACTCGCACTCAGAAGAACTATCCAGTGTCATCTGCAGTGGCTAGCTCTGCTGGGAACCTTTGTCTGATGCAAGAATGGGGGCCCAAGACAACAGAGGACTTCCTTCATATCTGGACATCCCTTCAAAAAGGGAGTATGGGGCGGCGCCTGTGGCTCAAAGGAGTAGGGCGCTGGCCCCATATGCTGGAGGTGGCAGATTCAAACCTGGCCAAAAACTACAAAAAAAAAAAAAAAGAGGAGGGTGTGGAGTTTCCGCTGTCCTCCACCTCTGCCACCCTGGACCAAAGCACTGCCATTTCATACCTGGATTAATCCAATAGCCACCTAATCAGTATTTCTACTTCTTCCCTTGTTCCTGCCTTCCTGAAGTCAGCAGAGAGATGCTTTCAAAACAGAAGTCGATTGAGTCAGCTCTCACTCAGGGGTTCCCATCACAGTCAGAGCAGAAGCCAAGGTCCTCCCAGTGGCTCACAAAGCCCTCCAAGGTGTGCTTACCCCTCTCCGCACACATCCCATAGCCCACACATCCCCGCTTCCCTTACACATATACTCGCCCACCTCCCACACACTGTAGTCACCTTCTCCAGTCTTCCTGCTACTCCTGAACTTGCCCTAGCTTTGTGCTCTCTGCCTGGAAGGCTCTTCCTAGTCATCAGCCCTCCACACTCCCACTGTTGAGGCCCTCTTACCACAAAGGCCTTTCTCAACCAACTGTTGGAAGTGGCCCTCCTGCCCTCTGACCTGTGTACTTTCCTCAGTGGCATTTACCACTATATATATTAGTTATCAAATCTTTCCATCATCCCAGTAGAAATAAAGAAAGACCAACCATATGAGAAAAGTGAAGGCTATTTATCCCGAGCTTGCCATATAGCAGAGGAGTCAGCTGCCTACACTCATGTTTTGGGAGAGAGCCAAAGACAGGCAGACTATAGACAAAAAAGGGATCAGAGGTTATTGGCATCAGGCAGCTGTGGGGGAGCTAACAAGAGGCAGGGCACCCTATGCAACTAACTGGTTAGGGGTGTGTATCTGGCTTCTCTGATGGCTTATATATTGGACTCAGGGACAAAAATTAGGAAAGCTATCCATTACTAATCAAGTCCTGACCATTTGAGGCCCATTATTACAAGGGTCATATTTTAGCTTCCTATATTGTCACTAGTGATAGTACACTGGCTTCCTGGTTGTTTGTTGTAGATAAGGGAGTAAATTTGTTGGAGGGGTTGTGGCAAGCTGTGGGTCAGAGTTCTGTCTTTATATATGGTATTAAAATACAAACACAATAGGACACTGTTTTATTTCCTGCTGTATCCCCAGAGCCTTGGACAGTGCCTGGGACCTTGTAGGTACTCAGTATTTATTTGCTGATTATAATAATGTTTGTCTAGATCTAGCTAGAAAAGTTGTGACTCTGGTGCATGACCTACATGGAAAACCAACCACAAGCCTGCTTAATTCAATCTAACTCTGCAAATACTCATCGAGCACTTGCTGCATACCCAGGTTATACATGCCAAGAATGGGCTGAAAACAGATTGAACCAAGATTCTGAAGGCGTCAGCCTTTGCCCAGAATCTGTCTTCTCTCCTCTTCCACTTTGAATGCTTCCCCATCTTTGAGACCCCTTCAGGTTTCAGGTCTCCCATTATACTTTCAGAGGTTGCTCTGGCCAGCATCTAATTTTCCCCAGCACTCTCTGCACATGGAACTTAATTATTTTTTCTCATAATGCACTTGTGTGGTTCCTGGTTGTCTTTTTTAGTAGGTCAGTTATCTTCTCAGTTGAATTGTTACATTACAGCTGGAGCCACATCTTTCCCACAATACAGGTGACACACAGGAGGGTCTTGGTGATTGAGTGAGTCTCACACCTGTCTGACAGCTGCCTTCTGGAGTGTATTAATGGTATGCTGGTCTGATGACTCAACACTGGGGTGCCTACCTGGGCACTTCAACTATTTTCTAACAAGGGCTCCACATTAAGTTTTTTTTTTTTTTTTTTT